GTGAAAGTTTTATAGTGTAATATTCGCATAAGGCATCTCTGTGTTTTCAACCAGCGGAGAAGTCATCTCAATAGGGAGGCTTCTTTTCTAGTATCAATAGGGAGGTCTATTTCCCCTATTGTAGTCGCAAAGGCATCTATATAATTCGCACTAACGAAGAAGCAATTCCCATCGTTGAATAAAGGCATCTCATGCTCATGAGATCATGACGCAACTTTTATCTGATAAGAGTTACATGAAGGTATCTCGATGCTTCTGGGTGGAGGTTTCTGTACGTCCCTATGATATGACAATGGATCTATTTCTATTGTCAAGATAAAGGCATTTTAACTTTATTCAATCGGTATTACTGGAAATATATTTCAATGTTTTTTGGTGGAAAAGAAGGTAACTCAATACATTCGAAGGCATCTCCATTCGACAAACAGAGGCTTCTTTGTCATGATAGGAGTAAATAGACAGGTGTCTATCTCTCCTTACTAAGACAAAAGAATCTCAACACTCGTAGTAGCAGCGAAGCAATTCTTATTACCAAGTGGGAAGGTATCTAACACTCTTAGGTGAACCCGTAAAATTGTGACAACTAGAGTATAAGGCAGCTCTTTCCTGGTATAAGTTAGGTAGAGGCAGCTCCTTCCTAGTATGAGTTAGGCAGAGGCATCTCGACGCTTTCGATTGAGGCTTCTTTATGCCCTTTGAAGTGGTAATTGAATAATTCTTAATACCAAGACAAAGGCATCTCAACTCTTTCGGCCAATATTAAGAAGAGTCCACAGAGTAGCGAAGGCATTTCAGCACTCTCGATCAATTTAGATGGGACAGCACATAGCAGGTATAGCAGAGGCATCTTCACATTTTGAAATTTTGTAGGTATGACTGAGACATCTTTACTTTGATATAAGCGAAATTGTATAGATCTATGAGAACTAGAATAAATTAGCACAACTTTCCCAGCAAACTAATTGTTAGTCGGAACAAGTAATTCAAGTGCTAAAATACATATTGAGGATTATTATTGAGTTTAAGGGTATTTGAGAGGCATCTACCATTGTCAGTCTACAATAATAATTTTCAAGAGAGATGAATGTTGAGTCCTTAATTAATCCAAAAGACAGAAGATAAGAAGTTAATTCAAGAAAGAATGAAAGCATCTTGAAAAAAGTCCTATGCCAACCTGAAAAGGAAGGACAAAAATGAAGGGGAGGATAATGTATTTTTTAAAGTACCATGAATGATGTTGAGATTCATAAAAGGAGAAATTAAGTCCAAAATGTATTCAACTTTATATTTTAAAAAAACGCTTGGTCTACAGACACATCAACCGAAATTACCGCTATATCCATATTGTATTTTATGTGTCGATGCTGTAAAATTATTGATCTGATCGATCACACATTATACCAGTAGAGGAAATTTAAGTGAAACAAAATTTGATGTACGAGCAAGAGTCTGTACAAGTCCTAGTTCGGAAAGAGAAAATCTTGAAGATGAAGTAAATTTCAGTAATAAAGATTTTGTGATGAAATCATAATATCAAGGAGATTACGGGGGAATTGAAGGATACAATAAGACAATAGTGTCATTATTTGTTTGAATTAGATAAATTTCAATGATAGAATTTCTTTTAAAGACATGTCATGCCCTAAAATCAAAACTAATAGTCAAAATGGTTGGTTAGCGATCTCCAATAAGTATGGCAAAAAACATTCATGGTCCACGGAGTTCGTCTTCGAGCAAGCTTTTAAGCTTTCACATTGGTAGTTTAACTGACCATACTAGGGAGCATAAGAACCAGAATTGGTTATGAATACATACAAGCTTTGAAAGATACAAGGGGACAGATGACTTTATTATGTCAACTTTATATCATTGGAACAAAAACATAAGTTTAGCTCACGGAATGTAAGATTATTTTAAATAAAATTATTAGAATGTAACATTACTCTGTGAATATTATATTACCTTGTTTAGTTTGGTTTGATTAGTATGAATATAAGATTATAGTGTTTGATTTGATGAATATAAGGATTACTTGAATGCATGGTTTACCAAATTATCTTTGTGATATATGTTTTTTAATCCGTTAAATTTTAATATTAAATTATAAATATTTGAATGAAAATTTATAAAAATATTTTAATTATTACACTATCCAAATTTAAAGAAAAATACATTTAACATATAATTAATATAATTAATACATCAAACTTATATTTTTAAATAATTTTCATAAGTGTCATATTTATTTATATAAAATATAATATAATATAAAAATAAAATGATCTCAAATGGACAAATATATTATTTTTCAATGTATAAAATCTACTTTTTGATAACTCAAAATTAGATATTATTTTAAATTATTATATTTTTACAATAATGACATTTTCAGCTCATAACATTATAAAATAATTAATATGCAAATATTAAAATATGAAATAATTTAACTACTTAAATTTATTAACATTTTACTCAATTAAATTTTTTATATATTATTATTAATTTTATAATTTTAAATAAAGCACGAAGAATAAGATTTGATAATGATTCATATGAAAAAATTCATTATTTTAGGAGCATCGTCCAAAGTGGTGAGAATTATTTATTACCTAAGAATTTATGGAGCATTTGGTTCACGAAGAAGATCATTACTAAGGGGAATATTTTTTTCCGGAATTGTATTTCTATGTTTGGTTCACCGAAAATATCATTATCATGTAATAACTTATTACAATAGTAACATTTTTGGGCTAAAATGGTAGGAATGTCATTACCTCCAAATTCTAGGTAATGAACAATTCTCATTACTTTGGACACAAATACCCCTGAAATAATAATTTTTTCATATAGATATTTCTCAATTCTTATTATGTGTGCTTCACTCAAAATTATAAACTTAATAATAATAATAATAATAATACAAAAAGTTTAATTTAGTAAAATATTAATAAATTTGAGTAGTTAAAATTATTTTATATTTTTAATATTTATTATATTAATTATTTTATAATTTTATAAGGTGAAAATATTATTATTGTAAAAAATATAATTATTAAAAATAATATTTAATTTTGAGTTATTAAAAAATAGATCTTATACATTAAAAAAATTATATTTGTTCACTCGAGATCACAATATTAGTTTTCCTGTTATATTATATTTTATATAAATAAATATTATACTTATAAAAATTATTTAAAATTATAAGTTTGGTATACTAATTATATTAATTATATATTAAATTTATTTTTTTAAACTTAGATAGTGTAATAATTAAAATATTTTAATAAATTTTTATTCAAATATTTACAATTTAATATTAAAGTTTTACTTGTTAAAAAATATAAATCACAAGAGTAATTTTGTAAAGTTTGAATCCAAGTAATCTTATATTCCTCCAAGCAAACACTGTAATTTAACGTTTCTCCTAAGCAAACCAAACTGGATAATACAACATTCCCAAAATAATGTTACATTCAAGTAATATTATTCTCAAAGATAATCTTACATTCCATCAACCAAATGCACCTTAAAGGTAATGACATTCTCACAATTTTAACAAAAAAATGCTACTACTTGATAATAAATTATTACTTGGTAATGATCTTTTCCACAAACCAATCATAAGAATATAACTCTAAAAAAAATTATTCCCTTTGATAATAATATTTTCTGCAAACCAAACACTAGAGGTGTTTAGAAAAACCTATAACTCTTAACCGTTACAATCGTTATATTTAATAAGTTAATTAATCGAACCGTTAATGATAAACGATTTCAATTAAGCGAACCACTAAAATTGATGGTTAACAATTAAAATTATGGTTATGGATTTTGATAAACGGTTAACCATTGTTAATCGTTAATAAATTATATTTCTAATTTACTATATTATTACACTAATAACTTAATATGATTTTCTATTATTTTTAATAAACTCTGTACACAAGTAATTTAATATATATTTTTTATTTCTTTAAAAATAAAAAAAAACATTCTTAAGCAATATAATGTGTTTGTAGTTAGATATCAAGATATAGAAAATATGCATGCATACAACAGTATAAGTATGTGTTAAGTGCTATATTTTTTTATTTTATTCGCTTACACCTTTATAAATATGTGTTAAATACTACACCTTTTTTAATTTTATTCACTTACACTAGTGTAATTATTTATTAAGGGCTATACTTTTTTGTAGTATGAATTATGAATTTTTTTTACAAATAATTATAATAAGTTAACCATAGGTCATCCTGTAACCAAACTGTCAATAACAATTAACTATTAACGATTAACCTTAACTATTAAATTACAATCAGAAAAATCTCACAATCGTTATACCGATTAACCAACCATTTAGGCTGAACAATACAATTAACCATCCATGAGCAACCCTACCAAACACCCCCTAAGGGTACTGTTTTACTCACTAAATTTAAGAAACTTAAGTTTTAATCACTTAATTTATCATTTTATTAAATTTCGATCAATTGAATATTAAATGTCTTTAATTTGATGATGATACATTAGTAAAAAAGTTCAATTTTCATTTTAAGCTCTAAACTTCAAATAAAATGCTAATCATGTGCCTTTATGTAAACCCATATTAGTTTAAGGACAAAATTTCAATTTATCCCATTTTTAATATGTTTTCTTCCAAAACATTTGTATTCATCTTCTCCCATCTTCTTCCGTCATCTCTGCTATATTGCTCTATTTGCCTCCGTTCAAGATTACAACTAAAACCTTTCATACCTTTGCTAAGTAAACTATTTGATGGTACACTTGTGCAAGTGATATAAGTTTTTGGAATTGGTGAGCAAAAATATACAAATATAAAATATAAGACCATTCCTATAATTTACCCTAAACATAAATGTGAGCTCAAATAATATATCGCATTTTTTTAGAATGATCACAATGATCGATTCCAGACAACCTACCACATCATCAAAAAGAGGCAAGAAAATCAAATGACCAAGTATCCATACAATGAATAGAAAATAAAAATGGATTCAATCAGCCTATTACATCATCTGATGGAGCAAGAAGAAGAAAATGGAATGAAAACTAACTTTCTCTTTTTACTATTTCAAACCCACAAAAACTAAGATATTTACCAAGAAAAGGGGAGGGGAAGGGACAAAAATCTGACCCGAAATGAAAATTTCCAGTTTGATCAATATATATAACTTAATTCCCTACCTGGTGTTACCACTATTCACCTTTTTACTTGTATGGAACTACAAATAAATTTGTTTTAGAGATCTAGCATATTTCCGAGCACAAGGGAACAGCTACAAAAAACTCTACTGAGATTTCATGAAGATAAATGAAGCCTTTATATTACATGAATGCGCAGTTACATTACCTTGCAAAATTTCTGATTTCATTTGTTGCTCCTTGAATTTTCTTCTTCACTGATTTTAAATTACTTTGACCTTTCTTGTTCCAGCGAGTTGAGGTGCTTCGATTAAGAACATCTGATAAAAGAGGTGATCTTGAGGTTGAATCGCCTAAGGGAGAATCATCGTAATCTAGTCAAGGATTTATCAGTCAATTTTCTGTAGATAAAATTCTAGAGAATCAATAATTGATCAGCAATTCAGCATGCAACCAGTTTATTTGTGGATAACAAATATCGGGATGTAATTGTAAGGCGGTTGAAATTACACATGAGCATAACAATTTATTATACATTACATTATTTCTGAACATCGACCAAGCATATAAAATTCCTCCCTTTGGATTTATAAAAAAATATAGCATAAACTACATGTTTAATACCTTAACTATTATCTTTGTTCTATTTTGGTACCCAAAATTTATTTTTTCTCAAATACATACCTAACGTTTAGTTTAGGTTTCATTTTTGTACCCTTCCGTTTAAAACTTAACAGTAATGTTGACGTGTCTCCATAAAATAATGTCACATCATCATTGAAAAAAATAAAAAAAAATGACATGGCAGCCGTTCTGTTAATTTTTTATTGGCGGGTATCAAATTGAAACCTAAACTAAACGTTAAGTATGGTTTTGAAAAAAAAAATAAAGTTAGGGTACCAAAACAGAAGAAAAATAATAGTTATGGTACTAAACGTGTAGTTTAGCCATAAATCTATGATGGTTCAACTCAGCACCCACAGATGAAAAGTACAGGAGAAAAGAACTAGAATCCTAACATGAGGATATTTACTAGACATTAATTAACGAATACAGCCTGGACCATTAATTAAATTATAGGAATAACTTTGTTTCTTAAATAGTATTTTCTTTTAATGCATTTATGTTTCTAGTAAATAATTCATATATGTCAAAACATTGCACGCAAAGTATCACCTGAAGACATGGGTAGCTGATATTGCACTTTTAAGAACTTTGATGCCTCTCTATCTTTCTTGTGGCATAATACTCGCATTAAAGTGTGAGCATCTCCCATATTCGTATGACCTTGCTTGTTTGAATCTAATCCCATTGAAATCAGCTCACTTACAGTCAGTAGCATTTGAATAACAGTTTCAGTCTGCCAAAAGGAATGATTAAGTACTAGCAATTCACTGTACACAAGAAACACTCGAGTACGAGCTAGCCAACCTGAAGAGAAAACATGTGAAGAATGCGTTTAGCATATTTTGCTTCCTGCTCAACTAATGACCGCTGAAGGCCTTCTCCATCGGCAACGAAAAATTCCTAGAACAAAATGACAGTTCTATTAGCTAAGAAACATTCGTATATGATAATATCAGGAATACATGCAGCAAGATTGTTGACCACTTTATAGAAAGTGCTGCTTACTAAGGATCAAAGTGCATCATGCAGATTGTCAACTGATACAAACCTTTAGCATCAACAGGTCTTCTTCCATAAAGATGATATCCGAATCAGAGAAGGCACGGCAAGGACCTCCATCAAGAAATACCCAAACAAAGCCTTCCTGAATCACGAATGTAAACAAAAATTAGGTTGTTAAACAATGGAACTAAAAGATCACAGGAGGTCAATTCACATGCATACCAATGAAGCCTTATAAATATTTAAAACCACAGGATCTCTAACAGAGTCATCGATCAATCCACACACATTGTCCAGAACCTACACTCAGCTTGCCAATATCAGCACATGCTAACAGGGGTAGCAAAAGTAAAACTAAATGGAAAAGAAATTTTCTAAAAACACGTGCAAATATTCATAGGTGCAACCATGCACACAACAAAAGAGAAATGGAGTTGGAGGAAGCAGAAGCCATCTACTTTGGAATCTTACTATGTCAAAGTCGGGAAGGAAATTCTCCAACCGAGTGCTTTCAACATTACCGCGATATAAATGAAACAGGAACTCATCTCTAAGATCCCAAAACACAACCCTTGTTCCTGTAAGTAATTTCAATAGAAAGAAAGAAGTTGAAATTTAGTAGTAGTAGCCGAACAAATAATAATAACAGTGGTAATAGTTTTTTTTTTATAGAAAGGAGGCCTCGTTAAAAACCTCCCTCATAGATAACCCTTTCCTAACAGAAAGGATCAAGTAGTGGTGGGAGGAAAAGAGTGCCTCATTTTATTACTATACCAAAATTACATAAGCCTTAACAATTACAGCAGAAGAGATTACATAAGACTTAACAACTTCACCTACTTCAAAATCCTACTGACCATAGAATGAAACATACAACTAAAATCATACAATCAACCAATCCCCTTCTTTGCTAAACTATCTGCCTCCCCATTACAAGCCCTTGGAATCAACCTAATTAACACCACCTTTTCAGAAATGATCAACAAAATTTCTTTAACTAGAGGCAAGATGAAAACTGGGGCCAAAGACGGGGAATGGATCCACTCCACTGCTGACTTACAATCACTCTCAACAACCAACCTACTGACAGCAGACCAACATGATGCCAAAAAAATTTCAATACCTCTTTTAATAGCCTTTAATTCAGCAACTGGTGGAGGACCTTTACCAATATTCTCTGAAAAAGTCAGAAGAGTGCAGCTATTCCAGTCCCTTAAAATGCCTTCAATACCTCCACCGAGTCATTTAACCTCACAGCTCCATCAACATTCATCTTCAAGAAATTAACAGGGGGAGGGAGCCAGCAAATCACATAAATCCTTATTTAGGAAAAGAATACCATCAGCAAGTGATGGATCCCCAAGCAGATCCTCCTGTATATGGAATTTAGGATATTAGCTAGGAACCATTTAGATAGCCTAAATCTCACAAGGAAAAGAGAGACACTATCAAGGTTTAATCCTTCAAACACAACTGCATTTCTTGCTTCCAAATAGATCAAAACACGACGCCCGGGATAAACTTCCAAATCAATGAATTCACCCTCAAACTCCCCCACAAGTTAAGTAAGAAGCAGGGTCCTGTGGTAACATATAGATAAATCCCAGAATCTAACCACTTTTTCCATAATTCCCACACTACAAAACACGTAATAAACAAGTGCTGCACTGATTCCTCATGTTCCTTGCAAAACAGACAGAGGATATTTCTTCTAAGTACATTCCTCTTTCGCTAACTCCACTTTAACTGCAACTTTCTGATGAACTAACTGCCAAAGGAAAGCTTCAACACGAGGTGGGGACGAACCCAACCACCCCTTTTGACCACAAGTCATACCCCCAGATTCCCCTCCAAGAGCTTTCCTGCACGATTTTACTGAAATAACCATCACCACTTGCAGACCAAGAGAGAGTCTTAACCGAATTTGTGAGTTTATATCCTTTAATTTCACCATCAAATC